ATCGGATGCACTACATGAGAAAGGTGAAAATAAAATTCTGTTTAGTTCAGACATTCCTTGCCAGAAAAGAAAATGGGAGTCTTTATAGTATTGGAATAATGTTGCATCCATACACACCAAATTGTATGCTGGTCAGAAAAAGAGTCATAATGCTATAAAATGCTATGACTGCATGTTAGCAACATCATTCAGTGGAAATTTTCTCTGTCCACAGCAGAGCAGATTGATAGTTCCTTAAAATTACAATGCACGCATGTGCTCAAGCGTTGTATAAAAACAGGTTAAAGAGAAGCCAAAAGGGAAGAAATAGGGACAAATTCATGAAGATGTTTTTTCTCCTGTGTACGGTTTTCCCATTCATTTAAACTACTAGAATACCACTGTCAAATGGCAGTATCAGTGGATAATTGCTGTGGTTTATATAATGCAGGGAGATTTTAAAAGAAACCAGGCTAACGAGGTTCCAGATTTTAGATGCCATAATCAGAAACTGAAAAACAGATTTTTCCCCAAAGCACTTTGCACTTCTCTATATGTTTATCCACATGTATTTATATAAATATGATCAGTATCTTCATTTTTTTCTTTTTTAACACAAAGTTATATGCTGTTTTATGCTGTGTTGTAGCGAATGATCCCTAAACTACATCAATACCTGATAAAGTCATAGATTCTTTGTGGGCAGGGGAGGAGGGGAATAATATTACTTATGAGATTCCATACCGATGATTTAATTTCCTCTGAAGTAAATGGTGAGATAACTATTAGTGTGAGATAACTACTATTACCCTACTACAATACAGCATTCAAGCACATGTAATTGGAAAGTTGAAACTTATTCAGAGAAAGGCAACTAAAATGGTAAAAGATCTGGAAGCCAAGCCCTGAATATCTTCAGTAATGCCGTCTCACCTATTTCACAATCTCAACACTTCTGAGTTTTAGCCTGTACTCATCTCATGCCATGCCATGCAAAACTGCTCCAAAACAGTTTGGTTTTGTCTAAACCAGTAAAATGTAAAAGAGGGGGACTGACAGTTGGTCAAAACTCACCCTGGAAGTGGCATCATTTCTGATGAGAAAAAAGATGCTAGTGTAGCCTAGCAAGATGAGAAATGGTCCCATCATGACTCATTCCCTACTCTTCCAATGTTCAGTACCAAACTGGATGTCAAAGGATATCCAATACTACAAATCATAGCTGATTTTCAGAGTTATCTCTCCTTCAAATATTCCAGCGCAAGATTTTGTGAAGAAAATATCACAACGATGTAATTCATACAAAAAAAATCAATACCAATATAGATGCTCCTAACATGTTGCTAGGATACACTAATCCTTCAAGTACTCTTGATACGTTGCAAGGAAATTGCTCAAAACACCTTGCTGGTGAAAGGAAACAGTGTTAATAAACTGGAACATCTACAATGTATTGAAGAAAGCACACTTTTCCCCACACCGCTGCTCTTAGTAAAATGGGAGCCAAGAAACTGGATATTTGCATCTAGAGGAAGACGGGTTAAAGAGAAGCCAAAATCACACTATAAAGGATGGGCATACCTTATTCAGAAATCCAAATTAATCTGGAATAAACAGAAAACCTGGGATCAGATCCTGAGATACAGGGCCTGTCTGGAAAGGCCCTAGAAATTTGTGATGTCCTCCAGGTGAGTCAATGGTATACTTCCCCCAGAAGTTACTACAAAGTTGTCTTGGAGTACCTAGCAAATTGACATGAGCTACAGTCCAACATCATCTAGGTTTTAGAGCTTGTCACAGCATTACTAACTCGCATGCTATCTTTTTCATTGTTCTGCAATGCTGTTGAATCTGCTTACTTCTGTTACTATATATTTGCTCAGTTTTGGATTTTTCTATGATGTGTTCATTCTCTTGTCTGTAACCACATGCAGTTAGAGACGACAAAGAATGACTTGTTATTTACATACTTATGTTATTTTCCTTAGGTGTAATCTCTTTGTTAATGCAACTAAACACGTAGACCCTTAAAGCTGTGAGAGAAAAATAACATCAATATTTTATTATATGAGGATTAGTAGTCCAATCCTATAATGTTTAAAATACATTATAATTAAGTCTAGGGGGTTTAATAACTGCGTATACAATCATCTATTAGATCGCCTCTGAACTCAGTAGTACCAATGTTAATACACAAGACACATGGCAAAAAACATTCATATTACAACAATATTATATAGTGCGTTAAGTGTTGAACTAGGACTCTGGAGATCAGGATATAAATACCAGCGTAGTCATGAAAATTCACTGGGTGGGTTGGCCAAATTACACTCTCTCAGCCTCAGATAAAGGCAACAGCAATCTTCTCTGAACAAACTTTGCCAAAGAAACCCCATCTATAGCCCGAGGTTGTCATACATCAAAAACAAATTGAGGGCACACCACAGTAACATTGAAATGCAAAAAAAGCAAATACCACTTTAATCCTTACTGGGGATTTTAGTTTTCTAAAATGTAATGTTTTGTTGTAGAACCCGCATAGAACTAGACCCAGCAGGTAGACATTTTACGACGCCTTCAACTAAATTTCACCCACCTTTTATGCACAGGTTTTTTTTTAACAGATACAAAAAGCGCAATAACAAAAAGTGTCTCAACAAAACCATAGTGTTTTTGTTGGTTAGCTATTTTGCAAACAAGGACTGGCAGCTCATCAACACAAACATTCCACATCATATGAACATGCATTCTCTGCCTCCAGCGGTTTGGACATTGTGAAATATTCTTGATTATGAACACTAATCACTACCATTGGCGCAAGCCATTTTACATTCCCACAATACATTGGAGCTAGGATCTCCCTTCCCCTTTTTGGGGTTCATAACCATCTTTTTTTATTCCAAGACAGGTCACTAAAAGGCTAGGAATCTATGAGGATTCAATTTAGTCCCCTCACAAGACTTTTTCTATGTCCTTTCCTTCCAATGTGATGAGATGGGATGAGAATTGTGTAGTCCTCCAAATATTACAGAACTGCAATTCCTAGAATGCTTACCGTTGACTAGACTAGCAAGAGCTGTATGGAGTTACTGTTCAACAATGTCAGGAGAGATCCACAATCCCAATCTCTCCAATAAAATGGCAGGACTGAATTGCTCTGTCACTCTCTAAACCTCTCTTGGTCGGCAATCATTCATGCATATAAAAGAACGAAAAGTTACTTGTAACCCAACAATGTGCACACACAACCAACAAAGGTCATCCTAACAATACATTTCTTCTCATTTTGGAAGAATCTCATATCATGCATGGCTGAACAAACATAGCAGCTCTATTTAGATAGGCTTTTAGAGATGAAGGTGTTGAAGGGCCATTCCACACAGCCATATAACCCAGAATATCAAGGTAAAAAATCCCACAATAACTGCTTTGAACTGGGTTATCTGAGTCCGCACTGCTATATATTCCAGTTCAAAGAAAAACATGTGGGATTGTATTCAGCAGTGTTAAAGGAGACTAAGATCAATTCAGGGGGTGCTGTGATTTTTAAATTTGAATTTGTTTTAATGATTTCTAACTGGGAATTTTAAATATATATATATATATATATATATATATCCTGTTTTAATTTTTATAGATTTGTATATGTTAAATGGCTATGCTCATGCTTTTATGTTAATTGCTTTGAGTCCACTTTGAGGGAGATAACTAAATATAATAATAATAATAATACCAAGTCTGTATGGACCATATGCTCTAAAACAGTGGTTCTCAACCTGTGGGTCCCTAAATATTTTGGCCTACAACTCCAGTTTACCAACCAGAGGCGGCCCTAGGTAATTTTCAACGATAAGCAAACAGTATTTTGGCCCCCCCCCCCCCCCAAAAAAAAAAACCAATCACTGATATATATTTTCTGTTTGTCGTGGGAGTTCTGTGTGCCATATTTGGTTCAATTCCATCATTGGTGGAGTTCAGAATGCTCTTTGATTGTAGGTGAACTATACATCCCAGTAACTACAACTCGCATATGTCAAGGTCTATTTTCCCCAGAGCACCTCAAGAACGCCCCTGGACAAAATTAACTATACTGCAAATGCTTACTTTGCATAATGGGTTAAGCCGCCCCTGTTACCAACTGGGAGTTGTTTCCTCTCTGCTGTTTTGCTGTTGTAATTTTAGAGTTTTTTAATACTGGTAGCCAGATTCTGTTCATTTTTCATGGACTCTTCCTTTCAGTATTAAAAAAAACTCTAAAAATTACAACAGCAAAACAGCAGAGAAGAAACAACCAGGCACATCTTAACACCTCTCAACAAAACATTTTCCCAGGCTCAGCCAGGCCTTCAAATGCTAATGAAGGTGGTCAGTTGAAACATTCACACCTGCTCCAGCAGGGAAGAGCTCTTTGCCCCACCCCAGCCATTCCACAGATATATAAACCCATTGTCCTAATTTCCAACAGACCTCACTACCTCTGAGGATGCTTGCCATAGATGCAGGCGAAACGTCAGGAGAAATGCCTCTAGAACATGGCCCTATAGCCCGAAAAAACCCACAAGAACCTAGTGATTCCAGCCATGAAAGTCTTCGACAATACATTGAGTTATCTGTGTCCACACTGCCATATATTCAAGTTCAAGGCAGAAAAGGTGGGATTTTATTCAGATGTGGAAGGGGCCTTTATATTCTGGTTATATAGCTGTGTGGAAGGACTTTCTCCTACTCCCACTTCTAAAGAGGTGATACAGAATAGCCAGGTGAAAAAGGAGAGGTTTGTAACAAATAGCATGTTATGACTTTCATGCAATTGTGCACTTTACTGCAGCACAGTACCTGATTAGAGAAGAACTGCCCTTCAGACTGGCTACAGCCATTTGAACACGATTTGGAAACGGAATTGCGACATATCACAACAAATAAAGGGATGCTTCCGCATCCGTGAAGGAGAATACACTGCTCGAGAGCGAGAGCGAGGGCCCACAACGTCTTCCCTGCGCCGGAAGTGACGTCCTCACCCCGGAAGGAGTGCTTGGTCTTCTGGGCGGCTTCCGCTCGCTCTCCAGTCAACAAGGAGGCCTTCCACGGAGGGAGGCGTTGCTCGAGTAATTACTGACTGGCCTCCTTGTCGGCGGAGCATGTCGTGGGCGAGGGCCTTGCTGGAGCCCCGCGGCAGCGGCGAGGACGTCTTCGACGAAGAGGCGGACGAGCTGGACGTGGTTCAGAAGGAGTGGAAGAGCGCCATGGAGAGCCGCGTCAAAGTAATGGCGGGCAGCTGAGCGGCGAAGGCCTCGCCTGGCTTTGGGAGGCAAAGCCAATGGGCTCCCCTTTCCTTCTCCTCCTCCTTCCAGTAGCAAAGAAGTTGTGGGTGTAGTTATGAACCATTGGGAACTGTCTCTTCAGGCTGAGCCTCCCTTGTCCTGAATGTTTCCAAATCCAAACCTATCTTTCAGATGATTGAGACAGAGGGGCCATCCACACTGCCATATAACCCAGAATAGCAAGGCAGAATAACCCACAATATCTGCTTTGAACTGGAAGATGAGCCCACACTGCCATATATCCCAATTCCATGCAGATTTATTTATCATGTCAGGGCAACCAGAATCAAAGAGTTGGAAGAGACCTCATGGGCCATCCAGTCCAACCCCCTGCCAAGAAGCAGCAATATTGCATTCAAATCACCCCTGACAGATGGCCATCCAGCCTCTGTTTAAAAGCTTCCAAAGAAGGAGCCTCCACCACAGAGAGTTCCACTGCTGAACGGCTCTCACAGTTCAGATGGAATCTCCTCTCTTGTAGTTTGAAGCCATTGTTCTGCGTCCTAGTCTCCAGGGAAGCAGAAAACAAGCTTGCTCCCGCCTCCCTGTGGCTTCCTCTCACATATTTATACATGGCTATCGTATCCCCTCTCAGCCTTCTCTTCTTCAGGCTAAACATGCCTAAACAGACCATTGTATTACATTTCTAACAGAACAAAACAAACAAACAGATAAAAAACACAAAGTTTGCAAGCTTGGTAGTTGAATAAATGTCCTTTGACCAGTATCTGGCCACTTGGAGTGCCTCTGGTGTTGCCGCAAGAAGGTCCTCCATTGTGCAGGGCTCAGGTTGCATTGCAGCAGGTGGTCAGTGGTTTGCTCTTCTCCACACTCGCATTATTATTATTATTATTATTATTAACTTTATTTGTACCCCGCTAGCATCTCCCGAAGGACTCGATGCGGCTTACATAGGCCAAGGCCTCAAAACACAATACAACAATACAATACCTAAAGCAAATTAAAAACAGTTAAGCAGTATAAACAACAACAATAAACAATACATCAAGACACTATAAAACTGGGCCGGGCCAGAGTAATGGGTACAAGATTAAAAGTGCTGATGTGGCAGGAGGTATGTAGGATTATAAGTAAGTGCAGTGTGCGGTGTGCAGTGATCTTAGTTCTACTAAAGTGCTTCTAGGACTTGGTATTGGAGGTTTCCTATTCGGGGAAGGCACATCGGAACAGCCAGGTCTTCAAGTTCTTTCTGAAGACTGCCAATGTAGGGGCCTGTCTAAGATCTTTGGGGAGGGTGTTCCAGAGTCGGGGGGCCACCACGGAAAAGGCCCTGTCTCGTGTCCCCACCAAACGCGCTTGCGACGCAGGCGGGATCACGAGCAGGGCCTCTCCAGATGACCGAAGTGAACGTGTGGGTTCGTAGATGGAGATGCGGTCACGCAGGTAGGGGGGTCCCAAACCGTTCAGGGCTTTGTAGGTAAGCACCTGCACCTTAAATTGGGCTCGGAAAATAAACGGCAGCCAGTGGAGCTCCTTGAACAGGAGGGTTGACCTCTCTCTGTAAGGAGCCCCGGTTAACATCCTGGCTGCTGCCCGTTGGACCAGTTGGAATTTCCGAGCCGTTTTCAAGGGCAGCCCCACGTAGAGCGCATTACAGTAGTCCAATCTAGAGGTGACCAAGGCATGGACCACCCCGGCCAGATCAGCCTTCGCGAGGTACGGTCGCAGTTGGCGCACGAGTCTCAATTGTGCAAAAGCCCTCCCAGACACCGCCAACGCCTGAGCCTCAAATGTGAGCGATGAATCCAAGAGGACTCCCAAACTGCGGACCTGTGACTTCAGAGGGAGTGTAACCCTGTCCAGCACAGGTTGCCACCCTATACCCCGATCTGGTTTGCGATCGACCAGGAGGACCTCTGTCTTGTCAGGATTGATCTTCAAATCCAAACCTGTCTTCCAGGTGATTGAGACAGAGGGGCCTTCCACACTGCCATATAACCCAGAATAGCAAGGCAGAATAACCCACAATAACTGCTTTGAACTGGAAGATGAGCCCACACTGGCATATATCCCAGTTCCAAGCAGATTTATTTATTGTGTCAGGAGCAACCATACCATTGTATTACATTCTAACAGAACAAAACAAACAAACAGATAAGAAACACAAAATTTGCAAGCTTGGTAGTTGATTAAATGTCCTTTGACCAGTATCTGGCCACTTGGAGTCCCTCTGGTGTTGCCGCAAGAAGGTCCTCCATTGTGCATGTGGCAGGGCTCAAGTTGCATTGCAGCAGGTGGTCTGTGGTTTGCTCTTCTCCACACTCGCATGCTCCGAGCCCCAGGGGAGTGGCGGCATATAAGTTGGCTCTGCATCTCGTGGTGCCAGAGCGCTGTCTGTTCAGCACATTCCAAGTTGCCCGGTCTTCTGTGTGCCCAAGGGGGAGTCTCTCATTTGGTATCAGCCATTGGTTAAGGTTCTGGGTTTGAGCCTGCCACTTTTGGACTCTTGCTTGCTGAGGTGTTCCAGCGAGTGTCTCTGTAGATCTTAGAAAACTGTTTCTTGATTTAAGTCGTGCTGGCTGATACCCAAACAAAGGATGAGCTGGAGATGTCACTGCCTTGGTCCTTTCACTATTGGCTGCTACTTCTTGGCAGATGTCAGGTGGTGCATTACCAGCTAAACAGTGTAATTTCTTCAGTGGTGTAGATAATGTGGGTTTTTTATTTATTTATTTATTTGTGATTATTTATAGCCCGCCTTTCTCAGCCATACAGCGACTCAAGGCGGGTTACAGATCGGCACAATTCGATGTCAGGCATTCATAAAAAATGCTTAATCTGATCTAAGATTACTTTCAAATTGACATGCTTTCTTTTTAAATCTGGATAGTTGGCAGACCTGTATCTATAAAATATATATGTGCAAATACTTTAAAAATGCATTAGCAATATGTGTCATTTCAGTTTATGCTGTATTTGACTAAGTTACTGTAAACATGTCAAATGGCACTTTTTGCATTCTGCAGTAGTTGCAAAACAATCCTTTTGTTCCTTTTCTCCAAGGAAGGCTATAGGGAAGGAATTGAAGCTGGGAAAGAGGCGACACTTCAACAGGGTTTTAACCAGGGATATAAAGAAGCCATTAGGATGATGTTCTCATGTGGTCAGCTGAAAGGAACCTTAAGGTATGTTGTGTGAAACTGTTTCACAAGTACTTTTATGGAGTTCCAAACCTCTGCCAAATTGACAAACTTAATAGCTAAAAATGGGAGTCACTTTAATAATTATTCTATTTATTTATACCCCGCTTTGTCTCCTCCAAAGTGGATCCAAAGCAGCTGAATCCCTCATCATTTTGTAGTACTGTATATAAATATCTGCCTTTATATGGTCATAATCTAAACTAGAATTAGTAAAGAACAGTGGATAACGATAATAAGGCTACTCGACTTACCAGAAGATGCCAACTTGCATCTCCTTTGAGCTTGTTCCATTCATAAAGCCACAATTGTCTCCATTCAGTTTTCTACATAACTTAAAAGCAACTTCTCCTTAGAAGCCCACTCTTTGATATACCTGTAGAAATTGTGTAAAGGGGAACAATCATGCAATCTTCTGATTCATAGTTGTTGGACACAATTGGGGAAATCCTGTAATACCATTATGTATACATAGTGCCATAATTACAGTGACATTTAGTGGATTCTGGAGAGCCATGCACGCAGAGATTCTGTTGAAAGATATTTTGTGTTTGTTGTCATCATTCTAGATGCTTTGTGGAGAACTTCAGATTGGAATTCAAATAGTTTAACATTAATATTCTACTTTATTGCTTTAAATCTGAGCTAAAATAAACACAAAACACAGATGGAGTTGTTTAGAAAACCTTGTCTTACTTTTTTCACGCATGTCTAAAACATCCATATTTTAATACACAGATTTATTTTTCAGTGCTCTCTCATCTTGGTGTCAACACAGCGAATGTCATTCTGCCATGCTGAATGAGGTGACTTATCTGCTAAATGAATTAGGAAAATATGAAGAGCATGTGCTTAACGATCTTAACTGTACGCAACCACAGCCCCATGTTGGAGACTTGCAAGATACTATTGAGGCTATGGATCTTGGTCATTCATGCAATGGAACTACAAATGAGACTGTCTCTGAAAATGACACTGCATTTAATGGACATCATCAGGGGCACAGTAGTGGGACTTGTTCTATCCAGAATGGATGCTGTCAAAGAACAAAAGAGGGCAAAGACTCCAGGAGGCAAACTTTGACTCGGCTAAAAGAAAAAACAATCAGTTTAGTGGAGCAGTTAGGTTTGAACCCTGACACAATTGAGCACATCCACCTGTTACAAACTTAGTTCACTGCTTGACATAAGACGTATGAATAAATCCTTTTTGTGTTGGAATGCAACCACTTCATCAATTTGTTGCTGGACAGCAGAGATCCCGTCTTCAATAAAGTGTCATGTAATATTCAGATCTGTAGAATTATATTCAAATGGCTTCTATTTCGCTCATGTGTGTGTTTTTTAAAAAAAATATGGTTAAATTATCATAGAATTGTAGAGTTGGAAGAGACCACAAGAGCCCGCTCTGTCATGCTTTGTTAGGAAAACATCTGAAGCAGTCCAAGAGGAGGAGGGGAAAAGATGGTCAGAGATCTTCTGGACTCAGTAACCAGGTTGTAACTGGAGAAAGCAAAAAACATGTGGAATGGGAGCTGTCAAATTTGCCCATGGAGAATTGCTTCAGTGATGTGGAATAAGGGGACGGTCCCACTACCAAACATTGACATTTCTCTCCCAAAACCTTGTTTCATTAGTGTGGCATGGTAATTTTTAAATAAAATGGAATCATTTGATAAACTGAAATTTCAAAATACCTTTGTTTTTCCTGTCTGTACTGCTAGCTTTTTAAGTTTTGGACTTCTGCAATAGAGCTTACTGAGATTGGGAGGGAAGCCCAGTATCTCCAGAGTGGTGTATCTTTGAAATCAGTGCCTTCGGCCTACTCCAGAGCAGCAGAATTGGAGGGAGGGGAAAACCCAGTATTCCCAGAGTTTTTCCCCCCAAGATTTTGTTTGTTTGTTTGTTTTTTAAATAGAGTAGGCAGGAACTGCACTACTAGGGAAACATTGATGGTCTCAGGAAAATCTACACCTCATACAGATCCCCACAAATGCAAAACCAGAGATAACACATAATCCCACAGAAGCCACAAATGATAGGTGTGGTTAATCAGATGCTTGGAAACATGCTCCTCATTCTCTCCCACCTCCTCCTGCTAGTGCAGTGGTTCTCAACCTGGGGTCCCCAGATGTTTTTGGCCTACAACTCCAGAAATCCCAGCTAGTTTACCAGCTTTTAGGATTTCTGGGTGTTGTAGGCCAAAAACATCTGGGGACCCCAGGTTGAGAACCACTGTGCTAGTGGATACTGCTGAATAAGCCCATTTGCATTGTAGAATTAGTTTGATGCCACTTTATCTGCTGTGGCTCAACTCTATAGAATTATGGAAGATTTACTCTTTGGCAGAGAAGGCTAAAAGCTTTGTAAAACTTCGTGTCCCATATTTCTATAGCACTGAGCCAGAGCAGTGAAAGTTATGCCAAACTGCATTTTGTCTACAGTGCAGATAATATAGGGATATTATTTATTTATTTATTTATTACAGGTACTTTTACCCCACCCTTCTCAACCCCCGAGGGAGGACTCAGGGCGGCTTACAAAAAAAAAGGCACAATTCGATGTCTATACACTTTACTTGTCGGGGCGCTGGATGTGATGACGCAGCTAGCTCAAAGCCGAAAGGAAGGCTAGCGGCCGACGGTACTGGAGGTGAACGACGAATCCGATGCTCTAAAGATCAACACACCATAGGAACCTGGCATGTAAGATCTATGAGCCAGGGCAAATTGGATGTTGTTATTGGTGAGATGTCAAGACTAAAGATAGACATTCTGGGGGTCAGCGAACTGAAATGGACTGGAATGGCCCACTTCACATCAGATGACCACCAGATCTACTACTGCGGACAAGAGGAACATCGAAGAAATGGAGTAGCCTTCATAATTAATAAGAAATTCGCTAAAGCGGTGCTTGGATACAACCCAAAAAATGACAGAATGATCTCAATTCGAGTGCAAGGAAAGCCTTTCAATATTACAGTGATCCAAATATACGCCCCAACCACAGCTGCTGAAGAAGCAGAAGTAGATCAGTTCTATGAGGATCTGCAGGACCTACTGGATAATACACCAAAAAGAGACATTATTTTCATTACAGGAGACTGGACTGCCAAGGTGGGAAGTCAAATGACAACAGGGATCACAGGCAAGCATGGTCTGGGAGAACAAAATGAAGCGGGACGCAGGCTGATAGAATTTTGCCAGGAAAACTCGCGTATAACGAATACTCTCTTCCAACAACCTAAAAGACGGCTTTATACATGGACCTCACCAGATGGTCAACACCGAAATCAGATTGACTACATCCTTTGCAGCCAAAGGTGGCGGACATCCATCCAGTAGGTGAAAACAAGACCTGGGGCTGACTGTAGCTCAGATCACGAACTTCTTATTGCCAATTTAGAATAAAACTAAAGAGATCAGGGAAAATACACAGACCAGTTAGATATGATCTCACTAACAGTCCTAGCGAATATACAGTGGAAGTGAAGAACAGATTTGAAGGACTAGATTTAGTAAACAGAGTCCCAGAAGAACTATGGACAGAAGTCCGCGACTTTGTTCAGGAGACGGCAACAAAGTATGTTCCATAGAAAAAGAAAACCAAGAAGGCAAAATGGTTGTCTGCTGAGACACTGGAAGTAGCCCAAGAAAGGAGGAAAGCAAAAGGAAACAGTGATAAGGGGAGATATGCCCAGTTAAATGTGCAATTCCAGAGGTTAGCCAGAAGAGATAAGGAACTATTTTTAAATAAGCAATGCATGGAAGTGGAAGAAGACAACAGAATAGGAAGGACAAGAGACCTCTTCCAGAAAATTAGAAACATTGGAGGTAAATTTCAGGCAAAAATTGGTATGATAAGAAACAAAGATGGCAGGGACCTAACAGAAGCTGAAGAGATCAAGAGAAGGTGGCGAGACTATACAGAAGATCTGTATAGGAAGGATAATAATATTGAGGATAGTTTTGACGATGTGGTGAATGAATTAGAACCAGACATCCTGAGGAGTGAGGTTGAATGGGCCTTAAGAAGCATTGCTAACAACAAGGCAGCAGGAGACGACGGGATCCCAGCTGAACTGTTTAAAATCTTAAAAGATGATGCTGTCAAGGTGATGCATGCCATATGCCAGCAAATAGGGAAAACACAAGAATGGCCATCAGACTGGAAAAAATCAACTTATATCCCCATACCAAAAAAGGGAAATGCGAAAGACTGCTCAAACTTCCGTACAGTGGCCCTTATTTCACATGCCAGTAAGGTAATGCTCAAGAACCTGCAAGGAAGACTCCAGCAATACATGGAGCGAGAGTTGCCAGATGTTCAAGCTGGGTTTAGAAAAGGCAGAGGAACGAGAGACCAGATTGCCAATATCCGCTGGATAATGGAGAAAGGCAGGGAGTTTCAGAAAATCATCTACTTCTTCATTGACTATTCTAAAGCCTTTGACTGTGTGGATCATAATAAATTGTGGCAAGTTCTTGGTGGGGTGGGCATACCAAGCCACCTTGTCTCTCTCCTGAGGAATCTGTACAAGGACCAAGTAGCAACAGTAAGAACTGACCACGGAACAACAGACTGGTTCAAGATTGGGAAAGGCTTATGGCAAGGCTGCATACTCTCACCCAACCTTTTTAACTTGTATGCAGAACACATCATGCGATGTGCGGGGCTGGATGAATGCAAAGCTGGGGTGAAAATTGCTGGAAGAAACATTAACAACCTCAGATATGCAGATGACACCACTCTGATGGGCGAAAGCGAGGAGGAGCTGAGGAGCCTTCTAATCAAGGTGAAAGAAGAAAGCGCAAAAGCCGGGTTGCAGCTAAACATCAAAAAACAAGATTATGGCAACAAGAATGATTGACAACTGGGAAATAGAGGGAGAAAACGTGGAGGCAGTGACAGACTTTGTATTTCTAGGTGCAAAGATTACTGCAGATGCAGACTGTGGCCAGGAAATCAGAAGACGCTTACTTCTTGGGAGGAGAGCAATGTCCAGTCTCGATAAAATAGTAAGAGTAGAGACATCAGACTGGCAAAAAAGATCCGCCTAGTCAAAGCCATGGTATTCCCTGTAGTAACCTACGGATGTGAGAGCTGGACCTTAGGGAAGGCTGAGCGAAGGAAGATCGATGCTTTTGAGCTGTGGTGTTGGAGGAAAGTTCTGAGAGTGCCTTGGACTGCGAGAAGATCCAACCAGTCCATCCCAGGAAATAAAGCCCGACTGCTCATTGGAGGGAAGGATACTAGAGACAAAGTTGAAGTACTTTGGCCACATCATGAGAAGACAGGAAAGCTTAGAGAAGACAATTATGCTGGGGAAAGTGGAAGGAAAAAGGAAGAGGGGCCGACCAAGGGCAAGATGGATGGATGGCATCCTTGAAGTGACTGGACTGACCTTGAGGGAGCTGGGGGTGGTGACGGCCGACAGGGAGCTCTGGCGTGGGCTGGTCCATGAGGTCACGAAGAGTCGGAGACGACTGAACGAATGAACAACAACATACACTTTACACAAAATATACAAAACCAAAGTTAAAAACAGTTATCACAATTAAAACAATCCACAACTAGTACATAACACATCATATAAAAATCATATAAAAACTATTCTCGTGCTCAGCGTTCCGTCTTTCAGAGTTCCATTGTACTAATCCATTAATCATTTCCTAATCATCGTCAGTTCTTTCTTCATCTGCCCGAATGCCTGGTCCCAAATCCATGTTTTCAGTTTTTCCCTGAAGGAAAGGAGCGATGTTGCAGAGCGATCTAATTTCCCCGGGGAGTGAATTCCACAGGTGAGGGGCCACCACCGAGAAGGCCCTGCTCCTCATCCCCGCCAACCTCACTTGTGATAGAGGCGGGGTCGAGAGCAGGGCCTCCCCGGAAGATCTTAGACTGCGGGGTGGGACGTAAAGGGAGATCCGTTCGGACAAATACACTGGGCCGGAACCGTATAGGGTTTTGTAGGTCAAAACCAGCACTTTGAATTGTGCTCGGAACTGGATCGGCAGCCAGTGGAGCTGACACAACAGGGGGGTGGTATGCTCCCTGTATGACGCTCTGGTGAGCAATCTGGCTGCCTCCCGCTGGACTAGTTGGAGTTTCCGAACAGTCTTCAAAGGCAACCCCACGTAGAGTGCGTTGCAGTAATCTAATCGGGATGTAACAAGAGCGTGGACCACCGTGGCCGGATATAACAACGTGTGTGTGTGTTTTATTCTACAGTTCTCCAGATGTTTGACTGCAATTTCAGCAATACTAAACAGCAATCCTACTGGCAGAAATA